TCGGCTCTTCTTTTATTATCTTCTGTTTTGAATTCATCATCTTGTCGTGCAATTTTCAGAGCTTCGGCTCTTCTTTTATTTTCTTCTGTTTTGAATTCATTATTTCGTCGTTCAATTTTATGAGAATTTGCTCGTCTTCTATTATCTAACAAGCGAACCTCATCATCAGTTCTTCTTTCTCTCATTCTCCTAGCTATCTCGACATTTCTTTGAGATATAGATCTTCTTTTAAGCTTCGGCATTTCTTCAAACTAGCTGAAAAAGTACTTTTGATGTGACTGATTTTTTCCAGGCCGTAGATAATGAAATAAAGTACGATTAAGTTAGTCGTTAAAATTTTAAATGAAAGCAGCTTCTCACTAAGATTTAGCACGTGTATATACCGAGTACGTCTTCTACTTAGTGAGACGTGCGTTTATCTCTAAACTTAGTGAGATAAACAATGGAAAAGTTTCTTTCGAGAAAAATCTTCGTAAAACTTGGTGAAGATTCACTCGATTCTAAGTAAGAAACTTTGAGATGAGAAAATCAAAATCGTAGTAGTCTTTATCGAACAAAAATTGAATTTGTATTTTTTATTTAATCGTGTATATTCAAAAAAAAATTCAATTTGTATTTTATTCAATCGTTTATATTGATTTTAATCGTTTCAAAACAATTTTAACAATAGTTAAAATCTAAAAAGAAAGAATGAATGAAAGAACTTGATTTAGAAAAGATAAATTATGAGCAAGATGAAAATGTGATATTGAATCATATGGATCAAGTTCAATAGATCTTTTAAATATAAACATTTATTTTATATAAAGAAACACAAAAAAAAAAATAAAAATACTCTCGAAGATCATTAATAGCTGATTGAAAAAGTGCTTGACGATCATGATGAATTGATGTTTGTCGAGCTTTAAATGATTTGGCAATAGCAAGAAGAAGTGAACGAGCAAATGGAGGATTTTCAAGTTCTTTTGCTTGTTGACAATAATTAATTGCTTCATCAATCTTAATATTAAATATTTTTTCTTTTTTTTATAAATAAAAAAAAATGAAAATTACAAGATCAATAAATCTCGGTCATTGTTCATGTTGATTTAAATAATATTGTTGTTGATATAATGTTTGTTTGAATAATGTTTGTTTATCTTCATCAGTCGATGGAAATGTTTCAAATAATGATGGAAACTATTTTAAATAATAATATACCAATTTCAGAATTAAAAACAAAAAAACAATTCAATTAAATCTACATCATATATATATTCAAGAATTATTTTAGCAAGTTGTAAATAAACTTGAAGATTTTTTGGTTGCATTCTTAAACATTGTTTTAATATAAGATAAGCACGAAATGATTGACCTGATGATATTAATGATAATCCATAATTAAACCATGTTTGAAAATGTTCAAATGAAAAACGAAGTGCTTGTTCGTAAGACTATATATATGTATATATTATATTCAATTTTTATAAACATAAAAGATAGAAAAAGAAAATGTTACATCAGCAATAATATGAAATGCTTGTTTACGAGAAAGAAATATAGATAGAAGAGCAAGAATATTATAAGCAGCTTGATGACTACGTTCTCTTTGACCTTCATGTTCAGGTTGCCAATCAAGTACAGCTTCATTTAATGTTGATGTTTGACCCAATAATAATAATAACAAAATTTCTTCATCAACATCTCGAGGAATAAATAATGATCTAGTTTTTATAATTAATTAATTAATTTATTCTTACTGAGATGATCGACGATTAGTTTTATTAGTTTTATCATCTCAACTTATTATTTGAATATAATTTCCTTTACAAACACATTATAATAATAATTCGGCATATTGTTTAATTAATGTCTATATTAACAAAAACAAAAAGAGTCTTATAGATTTTATTTAATTTCTTTAAAACAAACTTGTGTCATTGTTTCTAATGATTTAATATGAACATTTTGAATATATGAACGAAATATTTCAATAGCTGTTTTTATATTACTAAACAAATATATATATATATATATATATATATATATATATATATTTATTTATTTAAAATAAATATTAATTTTTATAAAAAAAGAATTAACTTATTTGAAGCATGTAAAAGTGATAAACGTTGATAAGTTAACTCAATTAAAGAATTTTCAATATCTAAATTCTCATTACTTAAATGTTTAGATTTTTCAACAGCAGCATAATATGTTTGACTTAATTTACAAGAATCATCAAATGATTTAATTATTTCAAATAAATTTTCATTTTTTTTTCTAATTAAAGTCCATTAAGTGCATAAATTTCTGTAAGTGATAAAGAAGATCTATTTGGTTGTTGATTAATATCATTTGGTATTGAATTAATTGCTAAATTAACATATGTTAAACATTCATCATAACGTGATTGAGCATAATATAATTTAGCTAATAAACATTGACCTTCAAATGAACGAATTGATCCACCTGATTTAAGAAGATTTTCAACACGAATTTAATCATTTCGAGATTGTTCTATATGACGATAATCAGTTAATGGATATTGTTGTAAATAATATTCTAATTGAGCTTCTCCTTCCAAAAATTTAACATATTCTTTTCAAACAAAAAACAAAAAAAACAAATTACATTTTAGATTTTTATTTAAAAAAAACCAAACTAAGAAATAAAACCTGAAACTTTTGCACTTTTTAATTTATCAAGAATTTTAGTCCAATTAAATTCTAAACGATATTTTTCTATTTCAGGTTCTAATCGATGTTTTCCACTATGAGAATTAGTTGCTGGTGTTCCTGTTGCCATCAAATTCTTCCATTAAAATAATCGAATAAATCAAAAATATGATTTTTTTTTATTAGTACGTTGTCTGGCGAAAACAATGTAACTAGAATCACCAATTGACAACATGATACACTACCAGTGGAGACATCCAGTTCACATATTCACATCAGAAAAAAAAATTATTATAGAAATACTTTATATTAAGCTCTCTTTTAATTTGTATATTTTATTTTCGATCAAACTGAGTTTCACGCGGAAGATGTCCCTACACTACAGCTGTAAAACTAGTTTCATATCAATCAATACAGTGAAGGCTGTGTCATAATAATAAAGTGTGTAATGGCGTCGTTGTAAACAGTATCTTGGCTTTTCACTATCAAGCTGTCATTCATATAGATTAGTTTCTTGTTATTAGCTGAAAACTATCAATATCAATATTATTGATCTTGTTCATTTGATCATGACATTATCAGAGTTGCCAAATCTCCTGATTTGACCAGGAGACTCCTGACTTTTTGAATCTTCTCCTGATTAAAATTCTCGTGAATTCAGGAGCTGATTTTCATGGTTTTCTCCTGATTTCTCCTGATTTTAGTTTATTTTCTTAATTGATGATGAAAATCAGTCATGTAAAAAAACGATGAAAAAATTCTATATTGTAATCAATTTTTCTCCGATTAAAAGTCGATCGAAATGATACAATTATACTTGGATTTTTTAAATTAAATTTGCTTTATTTGACTCCAGAAAATTTGAATCCATTTCATTCCATTTGTATCAACATTTAATCAATAAAAATTGGTTCCCATGAGATTTTAATCTAATTTATAGATATTCAGCTTATGTAACTAAATATAAATTGATGCTGCCGTGTTATAGGCAGAAGTATATAAAAAGGCCAATACTATCTTGATCAATCTGTTGACGTGAGAAATCAGAAAATCAATTGAAAATTGAACTTTTCAAGGTAAAACTGGACAATACCTTTCATAGTCGTGGGAATTATAAATGATTGAAAACAAAATCCACGACTGACAAATTTTCTTTTATCGTCATAGGAGGATTTTAAAAAAGATAAAAGATTCAAAAAGACTAGAAATCTATTTCAGCATTTAATAGCTATAATATTCAACAAAGAAATCTAATTTGTCGTTATTAATATGTTCTTTTACATATCAAATATTTATGAGATGATAATCACAAGATGATGAAAGGAGATTCAGTTAGAGCAACTAACAATTAAAATGAATAGTCGTTACGCTCGTCCAAAGTCTTATGCCTATTGTTTAAATAAACAAGGTCATTTGACGCAGGTTTTATTACCAGATAAACATTGTCATTATATGAAGGATCATCTTTCTATAATTTTAACTCAATAATACGAAAGTTCTTTTACCACCACCTTCACCTAGAAGAATAAGTTGAGTTTCTGGATGAAAAGTGGAATTTTATGGACGTAAAATTATAAATCACGCTTGAACTTTAAAGAAAAATCTCCTGATTTTTCTCATGTTTTAGAAAAATAAATCTCCTGAAAACTCCTATTTTTTTTTTTACAAATATCTCCTGGCTTTCAAAATTGGAATTTGGTAACCCTAACCCTGGATGTTATTTGATGTTCTATATCATCATTAGAAGGCAAGAAATCTAACAATTTCTAGATTGAGGCTTGGTCCCCACAAAATCTTTAGACAGATCCAAAAATGTCCTATCACGACTGATTTTTAGATGGATTGATTCTGCAAAATCTTCGTGAAGCTCTGTTACACATATATTTAATTGTTTTGTTTAGCTCTGAAAGATCATTTTTGTGTACTCAAAAAGTGAGTACACTCTAGAATCGTTCAGTATGTCCGTCCGGCCGTTTACACGATAACTTTTGAAAGGAGAGCCCGATCGCGATGAAATTTTCTGCACAGTTTAGTCTCAACAATATCTCGGTTGAGAGAAGAAGATGAGAAGAATTGGCCGAGCCGTTCCTGAGTTATTGCAAAAATACTCATTTTTCCCTATGGCTTCCTATAGGAAAACCGACCTATCTCCACTTTCGTAAAACACTTTCCCTATTATAGTCAAAGATAACCTCAACTATTATACACCATTCCATTGAGAATTTCACGAGCTACAAAATAGTATATAAAACATAAAGAAAGAAGAAAGCTAGCTCACCTATTGGAAAGATAAATAGACGGAAATCGGTTCTATTTTTGGTCTGCGCTCTAATCGATCCCCGATTCGAGCTCTATCTTCCGATCATCGAGATAATACTTCGAGGTTTTCTGGGATGGAGAAATCGAATCTGTAATTCACTTCACTCGGAGCCCCATTGGTTGAGCACTGACCAATAGAAATCAAGTTATAGGAAAAAATGCCTTTCTTAGGATAACTCAAGGCGAAGAGTCCAAATCTAAGCTGTATTCACGCCGAAATCCTATTGGTTGAGCAGTAGCAAATAGAATTCAAGTGTTTATAGAAAGGATTTGTCAGGCTAATTTTTATATCCGCACATTCTAGGATGACCGATTTGTCGCATTCACTTTTTGAAGTACACATAACTCTCGGATTTAAATCCGAGGTTTCCACATTTATTTATTATTTCATCAAAAATTTTCCAAGAAATCTCATTTGAGTCTATTCTATGCGATGTTTAATATGAACTGTGGAAATTTAGAGGAATCTTCGATGTGTAAGTAATACATTTGATTAAAAGAAAATGCATCTATATATATTGAGAATAGATTGCTATACTTGAACATAAATCAACTATATAACTAGGTTACAAAGCTACTCTTCAGATTTATACTTCTGTTACTGCTGAAGTTCAATTAAAAACGTTAGTTAATTCTAATTCTGATGTAACAAGTGTAGAAGATCCAAAATTTATAAAACAAGATCAAGTAGCCATAGCAAGATCTGGATTAATACAAACTGGTCGAGTTATTTGTATAGAACAATTGCAATATTTTCCTCAATTTGGTCGATTTACATTACACGATAGAGATCGTATAGTTGGTATTGAACAAGTACTTGAAGTAATTGCAAGTGGGAAAAAGCTGATTTAAATCACTCCAAAATCAAATTTAAATCAATTAAATCAAATAAATCACTTTTGAGTCAAATAAATCAAATAAATCACTTTTGAGTCAAATAAATCAAATAAATCACCTTTGAGTCAAATAAATCAAATAAATCATCTGAATCAGTTTTGAAAATATTTCAACCAATGACGAAAACTGTGTGAAATTAATTCGTTCTATATTGTATCGTAGAAACAATTTTTTCGTTTGGGTAAATCCATGGGAAACGTACCACTTTATACATGACTATCTCAGAATTGACTGAAATTTTCAGGATTTGTAGAGTTCAATGAGCTGATCATTTTGGTAATAAATTATTATTATGGGTTTGATTATGGATTAGGGTCGAAATAAGCAAAATACAGTTTTCAGAATTTCCGAAAAATCATCACCAACGTGAAAAGTTCTCATTTTTGCGAGAGTATTTTCTCTTTTATTTCAAGACCAAAGTGGAACATTCTATATATATTCTGATAGCCCGTGCTTCGCTCTATCGAACCATATATGAATCAAAAATTTTTCATTTTTTAAAAAAAGATTTTTAATTGAACCACAAAAAGCTCACTGCAGCACAAACTTTGTCTTCTAATAAAAAACCCCTTCCGAATTTAGGTGAATTATGGTCTAGTAGGTTTTGTAGAGCGTCGCTTGCTCTATCTTTTGGTATACAGCGCATTGCAGTCGGTTTTCGTTTTCGGGTGTTAGAGGACCAAAATGTTTATCTATTACTGTTTTCGGAAGGTTTCAGTTCGTATTACTGGACTTTTTCAAAAGAAAAACTCAATAAATTAATCTGAAACTTTAAACTCAGGGAAATCTCAATTATTAGAGTAGAAATCACAAAAAAAATTATTGACATTGTCTTCTCTTTCACATCATCCTATGATAGTAAAATATGACAAGTCATATTTGAACTTTTGATTATTCAAAGGAGAGAGTTCGTTAATCGATGAAATCAATCCCTTTCTGAAATCAAGTTTTATATTTTCCGAATAGTCGATTGAGATGTCAAAAGCCGATTAGGGTTTGAATTAGCCAGTTAGTCTTAGTTATAGATATGCACGAATGGCCTAAAATATTAACACTGTCTACCGCCTAAGCAGTTGCGGTATGCTGTGTTCCCATGAAGTATATTGACTCTGTCGTTAACATCTTTTAATTTGAGTTAAATACCAAATGAAAGCTTATTCTTTTCGCTATCGAATGATATAAAATAGTATGATAAAATACTGGTCTTTCATTGTTTTCTTGAGATGACCTTGTATACTACTATCTGACGTTGTGTGGGTATTGATGAGAAAGTCCTATTTTATGGTACGAAAGAAATACAGATCCAACGTGAATTATGTATTATTCGATAGCTCTTTTGAAACTCAACAAAACTATGCTGTTACATTGAGTTTAATTTGCGGGAAAGATAGTCAACCAGAAGGTACAGACTTGCAGGATGCCAAAAATTGAATTTTTTCGGTTATTTTTTATTCATTTTTGCTTGAAATATCCGGCTCTATGTTTAAAAAAATGACATACTTGAAATCAGCATGAAAAGTTGAGTTGGTCTATATGTACTTGAAACTACGCTATCGACTTTCATTTTTTTCTAAAAATTTAGCCCTGGTCCCCCTCAGGGATATGCCGAAAAATAAATTCAACAAAGCTCTCGTTTGTATTTCTTATCTAGCTACCGTTTTGATTTTTTCTAGCTTTTAAACAGTTAGCATCTTCGTTTTCATGTTAAAACTCATACTTTTCCGACATTTATTTTTTCGAATATCCTTAAGGAGGACTAGGGCCGAATTTTTGGAAAAAATGACAGTCGATAGCGCAGTTTCAAGTACATACAGACCAACTCAGCTTTTCATGCAGATTTTAAATATATGTTTTCTTCAAACACGAAGCGGAACAGTTTCAGTGAAAATGAATGAAAAATGAGAAAAAAATCCAATTTCTGGCGTCCCACAGGACTGCGCCTTTCAGTTGACTATTCCCCCCCCCCTTCCCACAAATTAAACTCAATGTAATAGTATAGTTTTGCAGAGTTTCAAAAGAACTATCGAATAGCACCTTCTTCACTTTGAATCTATGTTTCTTTAGTACCTGAATATGGGATTTTCTTATGCATACTGATAAAATGTTACATAGTAGTGTACAAGGCCATCTCAAGAAAACAATGAAAGAAGAATATTTTATCACACAATTTTATATTATTCGATAGTGAAAAGAATAAGCTTTTATTTAGTATTTAACTCAAATTAAAAGATGTTAACGACAGAGTCAATATGCTTCATAGGAACGCCGCATATTGCAACTGACCAGGTAATAGACAATATCAATATTTTGGCTCCTCCTGCATATCTATAATTAAGACCGCCTCACTAATTTGAACATTAATCGACTCTTTGGAAAATATAAAATTCGATTTGAGAAGGGAGCAGACTTCATCGATTATCCATCCTCTCCTTTGAACAAACAAGAGTTCAAATGTGACTTGTCACATTTTACTATCATAGGATGACATGAAAGACAAGATAATGCCAATAAATTTTTTTATGACTCCTATTCTATTAATTGAGATTTCTCTGAGTTTAAGGTTTCAGATTAGTTTATCGAGTTTTTCTTTTGAAAAATTCAGAAATATGAACTAAAACCTTGAGAGAACAGTAGTAGATAAACATTTCGACCCTCTAACGCACGAAAATGGAAACCGGCTGCAATGCGCTATATACCAGAAGATAGAACAAGCGATGCTCTACAAAACCTACTAGACCATAATTCACCTAAATTCGGAAGGGTTTTTTTATTAGAAGACAAAGTTTGTGTTGCAGTGAACTTTCGGTGGTCCAATTAAAAATCTTTCTTAAAAAATGGAAAATTTTTGATTCATATATGGTTCGATAGAGCTGAGCGTGGGCTACCAGAATATGTATAGAATATTCCATTTTGGTCTTGAAATAAAAGAGAAAATACTCTCGCAAAAATGAGAACTTTTCACGTTGGTGATGATTTTTCGGAAATTCTGAAAACTGTATTTTGCTTATTTCGACCCTAATCCCTAATCAAACCCATAATAATAATTTATTACCAAAATGATCAGCTCATTGAACTCTACAAATCCTGAAAATTTCAGTCAATTCTGAGATAGTCATGTATAAAGTGGTACGTTTCCCATGGATTTTTACCCTATCAAAATAGCAAAAAGTACTTCGAGTTAAATGTTCTCTTTTTATGTGTATATTATACGTTACATCAGTCAAACTAGAACATGTAAATCCATGAAGTGTTACATTTTCTACGTGAGCTAATTGATTGATTATTGCACCAATGGTGTGGCAAACTAGTTGGATAACAAACTACTATCATCATTCAATATAACCTCTTTAGATCTGTACAGAAAATAGTAATCCTATATTCCTGTAAAATCGTTTCACGCCGTCTGATTTATGTGATTTTTAAATAACTTTAAGTTAGTTTCGAGTCAAAAAAATCAGCTAAACTCATTTTAAATCAAAAAAATCACTTAAACTCAATTAAATCAAAAAAATCAGCAAAACTCCTTTTAAATCAAAAAAATCAGCTAAACTCAATTAAATCAAAAAAATCACTTAAACTCATTTTAAATCAATAAATCATAAATCGCTTTTTCCCCCTTGAGTAATTGAATAAAAATTATCTTTATTTTATGCTAGTTTTATATAGTTATCAATAAAAAACAGAATCTTGGGTGTGAATTTGTAGGTGTGACTGTGGCTGTGGGTGTGGGTGTTTTTCTGTTCTTCAACAAAACGTCGATACCCACGTCCTCTTTTCTTGATCCTTGAAATTTTTAAAAAAATTTGAAAAGATATTTGTTTTATTGTGATTATTTTTAGCAAACTTTCAAGGAAAATTAGAATACTGAATGCATGATATAGATAAGGATATATATTTTGTAGGGAAATTTTTGAGAGAATACATTTAAAGATTGAAGTATATAACTGTTAGTTTCAAATTAGTAACATTTTTTTTTGTTTTTTCAAACATGACCTAAGATTTGAGCTTCGGTGTATTGAACAGAATTGCTAAGACCTTCTTGCGAAGTAACAAGTAGTCGATAACTTCTAAAAGCAATCGTATTCGAGAAATCTTGTTGTTGCATATATGTATTGCGAGCAGGATCAATACCTGTTGGACCACTGTATATCAATGTCCAACTTGAGCCGAGATGAAGTGCTTCGACATCTGTTGCATTTGTTCCTTCGAGAGTTACTGTAAGTGGATCACGATATGGAAACTCATCTGCAGTTGCAAAAAGAAGAGCAACAGCCACAGAAGCATTACTTATTGTCGGCGTTACAAAAAAAAAAGTATTTACTCCAGGATTATATAACATGAAGCCATCGTTATCTTGAACTCCAAAATTAAGACATTTCGTGTTTAACAAACCATCAATAGCGTTTGGAGGATCTTCAGCAGAATTCGAATATCTGCCATTATAACCACCCGTAGATTGACCAGTTGAAGTATTATATAAGCCGACGATGGGATCATCTGAACTTGTTATTGAGACAATTATTTGTGAAGAGTTTGCTCTTGTGTATGTTTTTCTTGTCGTTGTTGAAATCTTCACTGTTATGAGAAGAAGACAAGATCAAATATTATCCGTCAATTCATTAGGTGAAAATTTGATGACAATGTAATCTATGTACATTCAAAATTTTTGTTGTTTCATTAATGATTGGGGTGTGGAGTGTGGGTGTGGGGTGTGGGTGTGGGGTGTGGGGTGTGGGTGTGGGTATGGGAGTGGAAATAAAGAGAATACCCACACCCACACCCCCGCCTCTAAAGGATAGGCATTAGTATATAGTGCATACGATATTGTCAATATAGTACAGAAATAGCGTAAGTTATGTGTAATAATTGGGGTGAATTTTACTCTATTCCTAATTGATTCTCGATCAATTCTTAATCCATTAATATTCAATTAGAATCTGATTTTTTCTATTTTTTCTTCTTACATGGAGCCCATCCAATAAGAAATCTTTTCAGAAAACATTTCCTTATCTTTGATTTTCTTCAATTAGACATGAATAAATTTTCAAGCCTTCAAATAACTCATGTTCAGTAGTTTTCAAATGTGCGTCAAAACGAAAAGCCCAAAAATAAAAGAGAGAATATTTCAAATTAAGCATTTTTCATCACTT